TTTTGATCAATTTAAAACATCCTTGCTAAATGAAAGTAATAATTTCTATAATATAAATTTTAAAAAGAGCTTTTGAATGGAATAGTGTATAATGTTTCTTATTCTATTCATCAAAGAATCCTGAAAAATTTTACTCAGCTGTTTTAAATATTGATAATCAGCAAATCAGCATATTAAAATTATTTCTGAAGGATCATGTGACACTGAAGACTGGATTAGGCCTAATGATGCTGAAAATTCAGCTTTGATCACATGAATAAATTACATTTTAAAATATATTCAAATAGAAACAGTTATTTTAAATAGTAAAAATATTTCAAAATGTTACTGCTTGTGGTGCATTTTGGATCAAATAAATGCAAGCTTGGTGAGCAGAAGAGAATTCTTTAAGACACATTAAAAATCTTGCAGTTCAAAAACCTTTGACTGGTAGTGTAGGCTGATTATTCTTATAGATTGAAACGTGCATTAACCAGGATAACGAGTATGAAACATGCTCCGAGTTGCTTCAGAAAACAAAAAAATAGAGCAACAACAAAAGCATGTTGCTGGAAATGGGTTTATTATTGAAAATGCAAACTGCTTGTCTGCCAGCAGGAGGCGCTGTGAGAGCGGTGGAACTAGCGGTTTCTCCAGTAATGGCTGTAAACAAAGCAGCTCCGCTCATGAACGCTACTTTATCAGATAAAAATGCCATCGAAACTATTCTGAAGACAGTCGGTTCCCTTCAGAGATACATTCATATAAAACACCAGAGACGCGTTTTGATTTTGAAACGTGCAGTGCTCGTTTATTCAACGAAGTCAAACGCCACAAATAAATCAATGTATGGGAAACTGGTAATGTATATCGAAATATCGGAAATGTGTTTAAAAATCATATCACCGTTATTGAAAAAAATTATATCGCGATACATATTGATATTGAATTATTGTCCAGCCCTAGTTCATATTGAATGTATATTGCAAATATGAGCACAGCTTGAGATATTTCAGAGATCTGAAAGTCCAGAAATACTTTTTTCTCTCTCTCTTAGGAGAAACATTTGAGAAGCAGGCAACAGTCTCTGATCTTCATAACTGCAAAGCTGACATTTCTGCAGGTCATTGCAGTCAGAGGTTTAGAAGTTAGAAGTTTCCTGAACGCAAGGCCCTTTGCATCTTTGAGCAAATTGGAGTACTTGGATGTTTGCTGCAGATTATACTTACAGTTTATTCTGATTTGAGATAGATCTCTGCATCTCTGCAAACGGGCGGCTGTGCCAAATGGAGGATTAAGGAGTAGCTTAGAGTGAAGTTGAGCAGAAAGAGTTGCGGTTGCCTGATGGGGAGTTTTAATTGCCTGCTTTTTTTTTCTCTGTCTGTAACCTTTCATCGCTCTAATTAGTCAACAGGTTCAATCTCATACTTGCTGTAATCACCCTTAAAGCCTGTCTCTGCCCACTCTTTTAACACTGTGATGTAACAGACAGCAAGTTAGAAAGGGGACTCGGGGCTACACGTGATGTGTGTTGGTGTGTGTGGGTAAATCTGGCCAAATTTAGATTGACCACATATAACTCATCCAAGTTTTAAAAGTTTGTGCGGTTTTAATATGCCACATTTCAAGTTATGGTATTTGGGGGGTACAAGTATCCATGTACTTTAGCCAATTGGAAATTATATAAAATAAAATAAAAAAAGTTCTGTTCTATTTTTAAAAGTGAAGTGTAAATTTAGTGCCACATGTATATCAACTATGCAAACTGATGATATGCCTGACAGCCATTAACCAAATACAAGGACATTAAGGTGACCAGACCTGTTTTCTGGTGATAGTCCACATTTTTGTTGGGCTTTGCCCAACTAGGGCTGCTCTTGCAATTATATGTTTGTTTTATTTGAAACATAATGCTCTCTATGTAGCATATAGGCTTATTTAAACAAACATCACATCATATTATCATCACTTATATTCTTGATGCTCTTCTCTGTTTGTTCTTAGGATGACAAAAGTTATAAAAGTTGCATTTTTAAACTGGTCTGCCTCAGCGATCTAACAGTGCTCAATGTCAAAATGATTGTAAAGACATCATTACGGCCTTGAAAAATAATATGCAATATATATATATATATATATATATATATATATATATATATATATATATATATATATATTTAATTTACCATTATGTAGATACTTTCCAACACAACACTTAAAACATTTGTTCTCTCTAGCGTAAGTAATGTCCCCGGTTTTGATTTCAGAATGCTAGTGGATTTGTTCCTCATTTGTGATGAGCAAATGGATTGGCTGATTCTGCTGTGTGTGCTGCAGGTTCAGCTCATTGGCTCAAAGTCACGTGCCACTGGTTGACACCACCCGAGGGCATCATCAATTTTGCAGATTAGCTAATTTGTTAACTGAGAGAGACCTATAGATTGAACGTTTAGATTTAACATATGAGTTAATATTAATCCTTGAAATATTTAATGAAGCCTAGCATGATGTAAAATTTTAAACGGCAATTCAAAATCTGTTCACACTTGATCAGCATTCAGCATCATTATAGACATAAGTATGTATTTATACACGCATGTTTATGCGTGTATACATTACTGAATGACCAGATTGGTGCATAATCATGTTTGTGCGACTGAAGTAAACGCTTGCGATTTGTTGCGTCAGCATGTGTGTGTGTGTGTGTATTGAGAGGGATCAGCTGGCAGTATCTTGCATTATAAACAGGAGGTCACATGGCATTGGGTGGGTATCATGTAGAGGCTTTCCCTAAGGACATCATTAAGACAACACTGCCTAAACCAGCAGTCTGAGCAAAACTCCTAGTAACTTCCAGGAAACCCTCTCTAGAGCCGCAAAGATATGCCAGGCCAAAAGAACACTACAGTACCTCTGGGATGTTCCTCTAGGAAATCAGCACATCTGCTGGACATTGTGCTGAACACATTTCATATTTTGCATCCACATTCTCCGATGACTCAGAAAAATGTGTTGGAGCAGGGGATGTCTTCTCTTTTTTCTTTTTTTTTATTAATTATTAATTAGACTTGAATAACTGGACTGTAGGAAAGTGATTAGCTTTTGTTCAACAATATGGGAATAAACCAAAGATTATATAGACTTCCAAATGACTTACATGAGTCATATATATATATATATATATATTATACACACACACACACACACACACACACAGTATATCGAGTCCGCCGTCGCCAAGCTCATTCTCCTCTCTTTTTAACCATCACGTATCCGATTGGAAAGACATTTATTTTCAATAAATACTAAAAGGAAATATGCGAAAAGTGGAAATAAAGTGCCTCACATGTATTTAATTATTTACACTCAATACGTTATTATTGCATACTGTTTTATAATGTACTACAATACTGAGATGCAAATATCTGCCAATATTTGCATTAAGTATAAATAGAATCTAACTTCTATTTACATTCATTGCAAAGAAAATAGGTATTTTTTTACATGATGTAAATATAATTTATCACTAAGAAAATATGCTATTTTCGTTTAATGCAAATAGCTGTTTGTGTGTGTATAGATAGATAGATAGAAATAAATATTGAAAAAATAATAATTTGTGAATGACTTAATTTAAAAGCTAGGAAACTATTTCACTCGGAAATTTCTAGTACATTTCACAAACGATTACAAAAATTAAAAGTAACATTGAATAAGAAAGACTGAAATATTATGTTCTTGTAAAACATAATCCAAATTCAGTGGTGATGCAATCAAAATTAGCATCACTGCCATACTTCTTTACAGAGGGAGCGTATGTGCGTATAGATCACCACTCTGTGATTCTGTAAGTGTGACATTAAGTTGTAACATTTAACTCAGGGTTGGGTGATAATTGGCCCACACTTTTCCCACCATGTTTGTTATTATACTTACACCACAAGTCTTCAATCTCCCAAAGCTATGAAATCAGTCTGTCCAAAATGAACAGAAGTTTTTGTCTAGTTACATGCAGGCTGGGTGAGAACATTTCACAGTTTGATGAAAGCAAGCTGTAGTGAGTGGGAAACAGCAAATGAGAAAGCATCTTCCTACTACTATGTGCCCATCACCCAAGTTCAGGCAAGAACTTGTTTTGTGGACAGTGCCGTCACCTGCCACGCCTGACGTAATTTACTTGAGTAAATAAGCCCAACCCACGCAAATAAAATGCAACACAATGTCATTCTAAATGGGTCACTGCAAACCATTTTCATGAGTTATTTACGTAAACTTGACTAATCGGGTTTTATAGAGCAGAGGGTGTAGGTTGTAGTTCTTTTCTTCTTTTTTTTTGGTCCATAAAAAGACAGGCTGGACATTTGAGAAGGCGGAGATGTGGTTTTATTTAGGGTCGAAAGTGCAGAGTGAGTTTAATGTGTTGTGTCGGGATGTCCTCATCCCAGTATACTTGTGTACGGAAGCATGTTTGCACAAGAGTCTATATGTTTGGACAGGTCTGGGTTGAGTTCACACAAACACACACACACACACACACACAAATATATGTGTGTGCTTTGATTCATCTTGCCTCCTCTCATCAACTGTTGCCAGCTTTAAAACACACCTGAGAGTCAAAATGGCTGCAGTCATAACAATAACAGCGTCAACGCGACAGCTCACACCAGCAACTCTGTTTGGCATCTGTTACAGCAAATTACATCAGCAATACCACACCATTACCTGAGCTCTTACCAGCACAAAACAACAGCCAGTAGGGAACTTGTGTTCGTGTGTGTGTGTGTGTGTCTTCCAACCCCCAGACACCTGCCACTCTGGCTCACAATCATAGCTTGCTACTGAAACTGCTGTTCTCAGTCATAGATGGAGCAAGTAAACCATTTTCACAGTATGTAAAGAGCTTGCTGGCGTTCATGTACACTCAACAACCAAAATAGCATAACTTGTTTTCCATTCACACATACATAGGTTAGCATGCCCGCTAATCTCTTCTTGCCCTTGTTCTACGTCCACTCCAGCATTATAGGGTCAAAAAGACAGAAAAAAAAAACCCTGATGAGGGATGCAAAAGGAAAAAATAAAAATAAAAATCTCATATGGTTTGCTGCTCCAGTACACGGCCTCTTTTTTTTTTTTTTTTTGGAAAACTTTAAAGTCAGCACCGACGACTTCATCATACTAAATCACAGACCTCATCAAGACAAAGTCAAGCTGAAGAACGTCCTTCACATAAAGTCAAAGCAAACTGTAGTTAGAAGTAAAGCTAGTAAATGATCTTCTCTAAATATAGTCAGCAGTCTTTGCTCAGAAACGATGGCTTCTTATAAAAAATAAATAAATAAAACCTTTCACAAGTGAGATTAAGTGTAAGCTTTAAAATAAATAGAACATCCGTTCATAAAGCGAAAAATGCCAATTAAAATGGTGCCATGAAATGCGCTTTTTATGTTTGATTGTAACTTATTAATTGTACACACACACACACACACACTCATTTCGATTTCCATGTTTTATGGGGACATTCCATAGACATAGGGCTGTGACGGTGGCCGTGACAACCGCATACGCGGTTGTCGGTTGCCACCGCGGTTGTCTACTGCCACCGGCGGTAGTGCACGTGACGTCACGCACTCTATAACAAGCATAATACGAAGTTTTGCATACAAGTGTAATAACAGTATTAACAGTAGCGGAACAGTGAACTGTCGCAACAGGTTGAGTCTGTCTAGTGCAGTGATCCTCAAAGCTGGCTCGCGAGATCCACTTTCCTGCAGAGTTTAGCTCTAACCCTAATCAAACACACCTGAGTTTGCTTATCAATGTCTTCAGGATCATTAGAAAATCACAGCTAGGTTTGTTTGATTAGGGTTGGAGCTAAACTCTGCAGGAAAGTGGATCTCGCAAGCCAGATTTGAAGATCACTAGTCTAGTGTATACACAGGACATTTGAACTCTGTGTCAGTACCTCATAAATAGAACGAAGCCGTTTACTGTCGGGGATTTGTCATGTCGTGTCGTGCCGCATCCAGTGTAGCATCACTGTTTATAATAAGTTTTATAGTATTTTGTCACGCCACGCAGCTCGCGTCCTGTAGACAGGGTGTGTTTAACTTTTTTATTTAGGCTACTTTCTTGTTTAACTGTATTATTTCTTTTATATTTATTTTAGTGTTTTGCAGGCTGCGTATTCAGTGCTAAAATAAACATGTGCTGACGAGTTAAATCGGGTGTGTTAGATGAGTGAGACAGTGCTGGGCTGCTCCAGGACAGTTTTGAAAACCATTTCAGAGACATGTTCTTAAATGTGACTCATATAAAATATATTACATGTATGCACAGTTTAAAGGCAGCTTTAATCGCCTTTTTGGTAACTTCATGACTTAACTGACCACGACATTGCATGTACGTAGTTTATTTCACGCTTTGATATGAAAATATACAGGCTACAGCGCGCCGGCGCCTTTGTGCGTGCAATTGGAGAGCATGCACTTCGAGCACAGTACCGTTTCCGCTCTCACTTGAATCGCGCCTGGCACCGAAGTGAAGAGGAGCACGTGTCTGAAACATCTCTCTTTCTCTCTTTCTCTCGTTCTGCGACTGAATAAATGCACTTCTTGTCAAGAGAAAAAGTGACCAAAGCA